CGCTATAAAGATGGAGATGAGCTATTTTAAAGGGGGCGTGCCTGGGCACGCCTAGCACTGCTCGTCCGCCATGGAACGGACGTAATCCATTGCGCAATAAAATGCGGATGGTAAAATCCATAGAAAATCCACCCAAGACAATCCCATCAAAACCCAATGAGTACCATGAACCTTGCCTTCACAAGCTCTTTAAAATGCCCCAAATTTTGTGGAACCATTTTCGTGTCCCAAGACCCATGACATTCATGGATTTTGCTTTCAATGACCCTTTAAAATCAATAAACCAAGCCGGTATCTCCGAGGCTTTCCATGTCGTAATCTGAAACAACAAAAACACCCGTTTCCCCATGACCTATGACCACCTAGTCTCTTTAAAAATAAAAACCAAGCCCGGAGCTCCGGCTGCAGCTCAAAAACCGGGCAGACACTTCCCGGTGGCTGTATAGATCTGTGATCAGCTGCGAGTTCCGGATCACCCTGGGGCAGGCACTTGCTGGCTTGAGAACGACCGGTAGACAGCTGGACGGATTGGCAGACAGGAAGTTGGCCCTAAAAATAAAGCTCCGGCTTACGGCCAGAAACGTCTGTTCTTTGGACGGAAGGAATCAAAAACCCACAGGTTGAGGTGCTAAAACTGGGGGCCGGTGAAAAACCCGATGCTGAATCTGATAAATTTGAAAGTGAAAGGGAGAGAGAGAGACAGTGAGCGAGAGAGACAGATAAAATGAGAGAGGCCAGTGGAGAGATAGTGTGATAGCGTGAGTGCGAGAGCGAGAGTGACAGAGATACAGAGAGATCAGTGGTGAGATAGTGAGCGAAATCGATTACCATCCTATAATTACCAACAATCAATTTTGAATTCATTAATTTGCATCCAAACATGCAAAAATCCTCATAAAACGGCTCGGCGAACGGCCGTGATCATTGAGACCCCAGCGCCCACGTCCTGGCCGGCGCCCGGTCCGTGAAGGTATGACCGTCATCGTCTTTGCTAGGGTTTCTCTGTGAATTTTCGAGCTGACCCGTGCGGCGTTATTTTGTTGTTCTACAGCGTGTTAAAAAAAGCCACGCTGGCATTTTGCCATTTCAAATCCGATCGACTTGAAATTTTGTGCAGAGGAGCTGAGGGGCATTTAAAATGTTGACAGAAGCAAGAACATTTATTTTCAGAATCTCTGCTGGCCTGCCCCTCCATTTCCCCAAAGAATCTCTGCTAGCCTGCCCGAGAATGTCGGGCCGGACCGACGTCCGCCGCCACCACCTCCGCCTCGTCCGCCCCCGCCAATTCGCCACAACAGGTTGGTTTCTCCCCTTCCCACATCCCTCTAAGAATCTCTGTTAGCCTGCCCTCCATTTTCTCTAAGAAGTATTCAATGTTCAAACCAATCCCTCAGCAGCACAAGGCCGCCGGGAGCCACGCCACGACCGATTTGCTGCCGCACCTGCAGCAGACGGGACGCCCGAACGATGTGCCCGCCTCCACAAACACCACTACCGCCAGGTCGAACTCGACGAATTCGACCGTCCAGGTCGGTTTCTCCCCTTCCCACATCCCGCTAAGAATCTCTGCTAGCCTGCCCCTCCATTTCCCCAAAGAATCTCTGCTAGCCTGTCCCCCCATTTCCCCTAAGAATGTCTGCTAGTCGCTTAGCCTCGAATTCCTAAAGAATATCGGTTAGCCTCCTTCTCCGCCCCGATTTCGCTATCCTAACCTGACAACTTGCAGCATCGCTATCGGTCGATCCTCCCATCTGGATGGAAGATTCAGACGGATGGACAAAATGTCGTCATCAGGGTCCGTCCGGACTGCCCTCTCTTCGGTTACTTGCTGGTATGAAATAAGCTACAATTCCCACTTTGGTAGAACGTTAGAAACCATCAAAACTTGCTTGTTTTATCGTATTTTTGTCATCTTTGGTTATTCGATTTTGAGAAATTTCAAGTTTTTCGCCCATATGGTGTGCTAAATCTGCAAATGGTTTGGTAAATTGCCATAATGTTGTTTATTACAGCCCGGCGACAAGATACTCAAGGGCTACACGACTGCCGGCCCGCCATTCATGGTTCGCTGGTCGTCTGCCACAGTGAGTTTTTGGCATGAGCGGGCACTTTTTGGCTAGTGGAAAAAACATTAGAAAAGCACACAAAAACAAAAAGAACTTTTGGTGCTTTTTGAAAACACGTTTTTCGGAAAAAATTTTTTGGGTGTGGGAAAAACATTCCTTTCTTGCCCCGTTTCCTGCATGTAAAAGAGTTTTCGCGCTTAGGAATAGTAAAAAAAAGTGTCCAAACCGATTTTTTTTTTGAAAAGCCGGTGGAAAAGTTTGCTTCGTATACGGCAACTGGCTAAACGGCCGTCGTTACATTATTCGATATACGGCGCCAAATCGGGGTTAGCGGGCGGAGCCCGCTAACCCCTTTTGGTTTGAGATACCCCCCCATACGACTCTTTTGAGGTCCTTTTCCGGATTTAAAAAAGAACCACGCATCGGATCGCAAAACTGAATACACCATCGGAACCGGCGACACTTTTTACATAATATAAGCTTTTAAAATTTGAAAAAAAGTAAAATTTCGAATTTTAACAGCCGATTTAAATTGCGTTTCGAGGGGGGGGGGTCTGCGTTTGTATGTGTGTGCGTACGCAAAACCTTTGTCGTCGTCAAAAAGTGCCTTCCCATAGTCCGTTTGGGCTGAAATTTTCCACATATATCGACTTGATGTAAATGAAGGTGAGGAAGAAGCGTTTTTTTCAAATTAGGCTTTTAAAAAATTTATATTGAATTTTTAAGTTTAAAAGCTAAATTGGGGCCAAAACAAGGGTTAATGATGTCCATTTGGGCTGAAATTTTGCTCAAATAGGAATTAGACCTTGCCGGAAAAAGTAAAGAAGAAACTGGATAGAAATAATGCTTCTTCTCTGAGATATTATAACTTTAAACCTTCGCCATACGGGGCGCCACCCTCCCCTTTGGCGGCCCCCGGTCCCCGGTCAGCAGGGCGGGTCTAGGTCCCCGAAGACAGACCTCCAGTCTCCCGGTTGGCCTAGTGGTTAGCACGCTGTACTGGGAAGACTTGGCTCCCGAGTTCGAACCCCACGCGAAACATGCTTTTTGCCGATTGGCCCCCCGTGCAACCTTATGGTTTCTAGTGCTGTCACAAAGCGCCGCAGGCAAATTTATTGAAGTTTTGCGTACAAGGGTTCATCTGAATAAGTATTCCGTGGCTTGAGTCTTTTCAAAAAAGGGCTTTTGGTTTTCGCAAAAAGAGAGGAATTCTCGTGGCAACAAAAAGAGCTAAATTCCTTTCAAACTCTTAAAAATGCCACAAAATGTGGGATCAACCAAAAGTTGCTGGCACCTTATTAAAATGGACAGATCCAGTTTCTAGCGGTTTCGGCTTGCAAATAATTGCTGTATTATGATCTATTTGCACTTTCTTGAAATTAATCTGTGCACCTGACCTCTGATCTGGGACGACGCCGAGGTTTAGGCCAGGATTTTGACCCGGCTCCCCGGGAACCCATCTGCTCGCTCCGCCGGTGTGCCCCGAGTAGTCAATGATAACAATTTCGCGCCATTAATGGAAGATTCGGTGGTTTGAGGCTTGGTAGAAACGCTTTCCAATTTGTAAAAAGAATGTTCAAAACGGTATACAATACATATTAGCGATCGTGAATGACACACGGCATTCCACGGAGGCACGGATAGGACCCCCGGGGCCGCGGCGCAATCGGTTAGCGCCGATCCCAAATCTCAAACAGAGGGTCCGGGTTCGACCCCCCGGGACCAACGTGCAACCGCTATTTCTCCCCATAACCTTTGCCAAGCTTTTGCGTTTTGCTTAAAAACTGTGCTCCAGCCATTGAAAACTGCTAAAACAATAAGGATCTGTAAAAATTAACCCGATCGAAAAGAGACGGTTGATCCACTGGCGTACATTTTCGCAAAACAGTCGCTTGGAGCCATTTTAAGCGTCGATTTCACGCACTGGGGGGGTAATCGACCTTGATTTTACCAAATCTAGGCTCAGATTTCAGCGACAATGCTTGGTTTCTGCGCTATTTAAACCCGCACAAAATCCGGAACTGAACTTCAAAAGACCATCACAAAAAAGTACCAGAATAGATTTTCGATAGTTAGGTCTCAAAATCTGCGCCTTGGCGTCTAGTGTATTTAAATCTAATTGAGTTTCTAATTTTTCTATTACATTTCGAGAAAAATCCAGTTTTGTCCAAAAGTTTGTTCATTTTCGAACAAAAACGTAGCGAGCGCGCTGTCCCCTTGTGCAAGGGAGCCTGCCGTAGCCCAAAAGCTATCCGTGCCTGCCTGTTAAAGCCTGGAATGGCGTGGACATGACAAAGCGCTTCCTTGCACAATCGCTGTTTCAAGAATTCAGCCATGTCCTTACACGGTATAATATGCAACTGAGAGTCTTCGTTTTAACCTGTTTGCCCATTTGTGCTAAATTTAATAACAGTATTCGGGAATAATTAAAAAGTTACCGCCCTAGAAACAAAAGGGTGATGCATATATAAAAGCATATGTGCTCCTGGTTACATATTGGTCGCTAACCCGCATATTACAAATTTCTTAACATGTTTTTTTACAAATATACAATCATTGCTATAAAGCCTCAAATAACCGAACTCTTCTATTAATGGCGCCAATTGTTATCATTGACTACCCGGGGCACACCGGCGGAGCAAGCAGATGGTCTCCAGGGGAGCCAGGTCAAAATCCTGGCCTAAACCAGTGGATCCGATCTGGGATGATACCGAGTTTATTAAGATTTTAAATAGCCAGCAATTTTTTGTTGTTCCCGCATTTTGTGGCATTTTTAAGAGTTTGAAAGGAATTTAGCTCTTTTTGTTGCCACGAGAATTCCTCTCTTTTTGCGAAAACCAAAAGCCCTTTTTTGAAAAGACTCTTTTTAGCCTTAGAGATATGTCTTTGTTTTGCTGGGCCTCCCAGTAGCCTTTAACGTATTTGTTTCAGCGGATGGACCCGACGATGCGCGAGGTGCTGACAAACCGATCTGGCCATCTCAACGAGGTGGTGGGCGAGGCGCTGTGCATCATCTGCTTGGTCGCCCCTGCCGACAAGGTGTCGCGACGGTTGCTGATGTTGTGATTTAAGTGCTGGCGAGAAGCAGGGTACCAGTTTTGCCAAAAATTAACCAAATTACGATAAAATACAAACGTACAAAGTTCGAGCCAGTTTTATTCATTTTTCGGGGGTCCCTGAGGGTCAATTTGCATAACGTGAAAAAAGGAAATTCTTCATTCTTGCAAGTGCACTCGCGTGAATGGTCGGTGGGGGGGATGAGGGTCCGAAAGCTATCAGAAAGTCAAATTTTTCGTCCAAAGGCCGCATTCCAGCCAAGGCCCGCGAAGCGGTTTTGGATAAATCTCGGACAAAATAGCATTTACCTGTTGCTTCTTTATAGGGACTGGTCGCCCGCCACCCAGCGATGTGCCCGCGGCCCGGACGGCGTCCTGCTCGGCTACCACCTGCTCGCACGACTCCGTAAGATCGAGGAGACGAAATCCCGGTTCTTCCCGTTTAGCAGGGGGGGGGGGGGGTATGGGAAATCAATTTTTCCCCAATAACTCCGTACGGCCATGAACGAAATATGACGATTCTTATGGCATTTTACAATGGGTTTTTGATGCAAAGGCTCATAGCAATATCTACCAAAATTACCGAAGTTTTTGGACGGGTTGGTGGAACATGTATGAAAATTGCCAAAGAAGGTCAAAAATTCAACGTTCGAAAATTTTAAAAATGCTTTTACAATTTTCTAGCCATCAAAAACTGCTAACACCATAAAGATGCTCTAAAAATTATGCGAAAAAGTAAAAATTAGCCCCCCCCCCGCTAAACGATAAGTACCGAAATCGCGAATAGCTTGGGACACCAGGTATATGGCTCCTTTCTAGCCATCAACATCGACCAGTGCCGCGAATGCAAGGCGTACCGTGCATTTGTGTATGGAAACCGTCGATCGGTGGGTTCACACGATTGTGTTTCCGCCAGGAAACCCGTTATTGCAATGTCTTTTGAAACACTTTATTTGCCTCGATTTTCTAGCCGCAATAGAACAATATATTTGTTATTTATTGGAACGTTTTTAAAATGGAAAACTCGAAATCCCCTACGAAACTACGATGACTTTCTGTTACAGTCACCTATCATTTTTTTACAGGTGCACGCTGCCCACCGTCGCCTCTTCTACATCTGGGCGGCCGGATTGCCCTTCGGAGAAGAGCCAATGGAAGAATGGGATGAAGCGGAAGAGGCTTCGGAGGTTAGCATATTTCAGAAACACTTAAGTCCTACAAAAAAACATAGAAACTAGAAATAGATCTAGAAATAAGATGCACTTGAAAACATAATACTTTTTCCAGGAAGCACTGGAGCGGCTTCTGGACGGTACCGATTGATACCCCTCGACTACATCTACAACAAATGCTCAACTACAACAAGCCCGACTACAATAAGCCACCACAAGTTCCCTAGAAAAAATGCTCGCCCCCGCCGCCATAATTTTCTGTTACCCGCCCTTAAAAATACTCGGACTTTTCGCATGTGTACATGGAGTTGTGATATTATATGTCTATTCTTACAAGTGCCAACCCCACCCGTGTCCCAGTTAAATAACGATGTGCCGACCGGACCAGTACTCGAGAATAAATAGTTTTGGAATGTCGTCAATAGCAAAGCACGATAAACTGTCAAAGGCACAGCGGAAGTTTCGCCAACCCATATAACATCGTGCCTTCTCGACCAAGTGACAGAACACTTAAACAAGATTGAAAAAACTTGGCGTGAAGTTCACAGCGTCTACGAAGGCAATTGCGCAAACAATTTATTACACAACCCCCGTGCAGGCTTTTATTTGGAGGCGCCAGCAAGTAACCCTACCGCCGGAAATGACACAATCGGATGGGAAGAAGAAAAGACATGGGGTACCCAAAATAATTAGACCGCCACGAGACCAGGGCTAGACGTCAAGACGAAGCGGCAGATACACACAGCAGAGGGGCCCGCATAGAAACCCTAACACGAACAATAGAATACGTACCAATACGGATGACGGCGAGAGCCAAAAAAAAATGCACTGCGATTGAAGCAGGGTCGGAACTGGGCTGTTAGCGGGGGGAGATCTGGCCTATGGCTACGTAGTGCAATTTGCGGCGCTTTATAGCGTTTTTAATAAGCATTTATAAAATGAGTAACGATTTTTCACGCCTAAAAGTCCAACGGCTACGCCAAAACCAGTTCCCCGCCGCTAACAGTCCAGTTCCGCAGCGCCATGAAAAACATCAAATCACAAGCCGATGGGGGAAGGGAATCACAGCGAATATCGTGAAGAAAAGCCGATTGGGGGGAATTGACCAGTATTGATTGCATTGAGAAGGCACGAATTTGTGTGGGTAGAGGGCGTAGAAACGTAAAGCCGAAAGGATATACCGAGCCCGGGAATTGCTGGGTGGGGGAAGAGGAGGTAGCTGTCTATGACTATGAAATGACAGGGAGGAGAGACCGGGGTGCCTAGAAGTGGAACTTGAACGATCCGCCGCCGCCGTCGCCGAACGGGTTGAAGCCGTGGGGGAAGCCGCCGTGGTGTCCCCAGTGGCCGCCGCCGCCTCCTTGTTGTGCCTCCGGGTCGAGCGGGTCGATGCCGGCGTCGAATTGCTTGCGCTTTTCTGAAAAATGGGTTGTAGAAGCTGGTCCTGCTTGCCACCCACTGCTAACACCGCTCAGAAAACCCGTACCTTCATCGGTGAGCACCTCCTTGGCCGAGGCGATGTCGATGAACTTGTTCTGCGCCTTCTTCTTCTCCTCATCATCTTGGAAGTTGTCGGGATGCCATTGCTGGGCCAACTTCCGATACGCCTTCATGATTTCTCTAAAAAAAAGGTAAAAGCGAACGCACCGTCCCTAACCTTTTACCGGCGTTTCGGCGAACGCCGAGGATTTTGTAGTAGTCGCGTTTGCCGGCCTGTTTCTTCAGCCTCTCGGCCTTTTGCTGGCCTTCGCGGGCCCGTTTGTGCTCTTCGTTCGTCTTCAGCGCCTTTTGGTAGTCGGCGATCGCTAAAAACGTAGAGTTAAAGTGATGACCACCAATATTAGGTACCGGCATCGTAGTCCTCGTTGAGTAGGTGTGCTTCGGCCCGGTCGCAGAGCACGTCGACGTCATCCGGATTCTGATTGTTCAGCACCTCAGAGCACTCTTGGATCGCTTCTTGGATATGGCCGGCCTAAATAGGCATTACATAAAAAGAAAACACGCTTACATGAACGTTGCACTTGCACGTCTGGCGGAAGACGTCGAATTGGATATTTGGCACCTTGGTCTCGGTCTTGAGAATCGTTTGCCCCTTCTCCAGACAGCCCATCCAATCCTAAAAGACAAAAGATTGTAAACTTTTAAAAAAAGTGTTTACCTGATTGGCCACCAGCTTGTTGAGGTCGTCGCGCATCTTGGCCAACTTCTTGACGCCCTTGTAGAAGTCCTTGCACTGCTTGTGGTCCTGCTCCAGCTTCAGGCACTCGCGGATTTGGCTGAAAAGGGGCTTGTGCGCGGAAGAAGGTGCTACGCTTGGCTTCTAGCAAATTGTAGATGCATTAAAATTGCGAAAACCCGGGTTTTACACTTTATCGCCTTACGATTTTACTACTCTAAAATGTACAAACTTTACAAAATTTTGATGAAAAATTGAACCTTGGATTTCAAATAGTTTTTTCGCTTGAAATATAGTCAAAGTAGGCTAAAATACCATGAAAAGCATTAAAATGACGTGGCAAGGGATTCCTAGACTACAACAGAAACATGTTTCACTTTTTAGCGCGAAAAACCCGAAATTCGCTGAAAAAAATTATACCTCAAGCTCTCCTCGACGTCCCCGATCGAGTAGTAGAGCTTGGACACCTCGAGGTAGACCTGCGTCGAATCCGAGAAGAGCTTGGCCACGTTGCGCAGGTCGGCGATCGCCTTCTGCACTTGCCCGAGCTCCTTGTAGCAAGTGGCGCGCAATTTGTAGAGGCTAAAACAGGCTTTTAGGTTTTTAATGTTGTAGCTCACCTTCCATCCCACATCATCGTCTCCAGCGCTTTGCTCAGGTAGTATTCGGCCGAGGCGAAATCGCCCTCTTCAACGAAATGGTGGCCCTGGGCGACCATTTGGCGGAGCAGCTGGATGTTCTCCACTTTTGCGGCCACTTCACTGTTCGCGGGCTCGACGGAAAGCTGAAAATAAGTTTTTCAGAAAGCTTTTGAAGCAACTATCCGATATCCACAAAACCAACCACGAAATCGAAGTCGGCTTGCGCGTTGTCGAGCTCGCCCTGCTTCTGCAGCACGTTTCCGCGCTGTATCCGGGCGGCCGTAAAGTCCGGCTTCAGCTCGATCACCTTGTCGAGATCGGGGAGCGCCGACTAAAAAGAAACGCCTTTTTAAAAACTAAAATTAAGGTTTACTTTGCTTTTGCCCATGGCCAGATAAACGGTGGCGCGGCGGTAGAACGTCTGGTAGTTCTTCGGGTCGAGCTCGATCGCCGCGTGGTAGCTGTTCAGCGCCTCGCCGAATTGACCCTAAAAGGAACCTTAGAGAATAGGGAGAAATTCTCGTACCTGTGCGAGGTACTGCTTCCCGCGCTCCAAATGTTTTTCCACTTCTTCTTTTTGCGCGAACGCGTAGGCGAGTAGGAAGCAGAAGGTGGAACGGCCCAAGAACTGCGGGGACAACATCCTGGGGCCCGCTTTCTTCGTTTGACGACGAGTTGCCGAGGTTCAACTCCTGGAAAAGAGGATTAATAACCTGCAAAAGAAATTAAAGAAAAGAACGCGAAAACGAAGACAACTGAAATGTGAGAAGGGAGATGGCAAAAGAAAGATCTTGGAATCAAGAGCGCAAAAAGGATTTCAGGAATCTCATTAAATTACGAATCATCTAGCTATGTTTCGCGCTTTTCGTTCTAATCGATTCACCTATATTATAGTTTTTTGTAAATTACAACTTTGCATTATTTAAAAAGCCAGTTTTCCATGCGAGCACTGGACCTAAATTGTACGATTCAAGCTGTCTACGAAAACCACCGATTTCCGCGCGAGATCTCAAGCCAAAAAGATAGTCAGTTACACTTTTATTATAATTACAAATATCTATGATCCAGAAGCCAGTTTTCTACGCGAGCCTTGGGCCTAAATTATTGGTTTCAAAGTTTCTACGGAAATGAACGATTTCGGCGCCAAAAAGCCCATGGTAAAAAAGATAGTAAATTCTCCGGGCTATGTTCGCAAAGGCGACCCCGCCGCTTATGTCTGGTTTTGGGACAGCAGTAAGGCAGCGTCAGCACTCTCTGCGTCTCTGCCGTCCCCATAACTGCCCGATTCTGTCATCGCCCCTCGTGCAAAGAACCGCCATGATCCACTAAGCCAGCGAGCAAGCTTTGCTGTCGGAGCAATTCAACCGCTTCACAATCTGAAAACTAAAAATAAAGTAAAGTCATGATTGAAACCAAGTAGATTTAGCGATCAAACCAGACAAGCTTTTTTTGGGAAGGGTTTCTTTCTGAAAAACTTTATCGAGCTTTCACAGTCATTACGAAAGGAAATTCACAATTCGTTGGGGAGACTCTGTGTCCAGAAGGCAAAGTCGTTGAGCTCATAATAGATGCTCCATCGCAATTGGGTGCCATCAGTACCCATGTTCTTCTTTCGGAAGCCTCCACGCGTCAACGCCCGACCGATGGTCGCCCACTCAGCAAACCATTTGCTGTGGAAAGAAATGTGGAAACGCGGACGCTCTCCACATTTCCATTGTTCGTAGAGCTTCAGACCGGCGGCTCCGATATATTCGATAATTTTCCTCTTCTTCGTCTCAGTGATTTCCTCGTCGAGAGCATTGAGGCACTTGTCAAGACTGATCCGAACATCGCTTAGGCTCCATTCCGGAATGTAGATCAACCACTCAATAGGCAGGTAGATTTGCCACAAGTAGGGCACATTATTAATCATCTGCGCGAGTTCCGGGTTGGCGTTATATGCAGTGGCATCCCATTGTGGGAAACCAAGTTGGATAAGCTTTCCTGTCCATTTTTCGATCAATCCCGCACATCTGTGAGCACCTTGCTGTCCTCCATGAAAGTAGAGCTCGCTCACAAAACAATCTGGTGTAATATCGGACCTCAAATTGTAATGAAACCATTCGACGGTCGCACCCGCCAACAAGATCTCGGCCTCGGCAGGTGACAAACTTTGCTGAAGAAATGACCTTCCTTTGACAGAACGCCAATCTTTTGGCCAGAAAATGACTTTGTCCGACATGCAGCCCACTTTGTAGAACCACTTGTTCCTCACGCATTTTGTCGCACGCAGAAGATTAGGATGGCATTTGGCAACCCTCAACAGTTCGGTTTCTCCCAACAGCTCCATGATTGACCAGAGGACCTCGTAGCGAATATCGCAAATGTTGGTCGTCGAGGAGTATTCCACGCTTTCAGCGCCATTCTGCCCTTCATAGTGCGCATTTCGCAACAGAATCTCGGCATCTTTGCGGGCGAACGTCTCGTAGTCGATGATGGCCACGTCGGACGATAGATGAACGATTTCCCAACGCTTTTCCGGCCAATCGACGACGTGTTTATGTAGAATTGGGTGCGAATTGGCCGTCTCGAGCAGGCTACGAGCATCCAATGACCCGAAAACTTCGTGCATCAAATCGGCTGGCAGGTCGAGCAATCGTTTCTCGGCTCCGGACTGCCCATCCTCGATAATCAGCGCCTCAACCTTGTCGATGAAGTGCTGCCACATTTGTTCATCCGTCGGGGCTACCTGAAAAAATAAAGACATTGATAGATGAAAACCGGAAACGGTTAAAGAAGCTGATAGGAACGGCGTGGAGCTTTTAAACGGCCATTTAAACGCGCCGAAAGGTAATTGCATTAAAAAACTGTATTTGATATCGATTAAATTGGTTTTTAGTCAATTTGATCAATAAATAACAACAATATAACAAATTCCCCAAAATCCCGAACTTTCCACTGTACGGACGGTCGATCCGCGATTTAGCAAATCACCGTCGCCAGCCAGAATGCCGAAGCGGCCGAAAGAAACCTTTCACGATTTCGCTATAAAAACTTTAATAAACTTTTTAAAAGCACGATTTGATTAAAATAACTGTTTTATTTAATGTCTTTAAGGTTCGAAAGCGGGAATTTTTCCGTTTTTGGGCAATAAGCTTTGGAAATGTTAGAACTTTAGGCCATTGTTTTGCCTGAAAAGTGCGAGTTATTCCTGGAATTCTTTCCAAAGGGGACTCCTCAGAGGAGTTAGAAGATTTAGCAACTTTAGAACTTTAAAACTTTTGCTAAGTTGGAAGGGAAAGGCTAGTAAAATTCTGTACTGGCCTGGATATCATGATGGGGTGTTAGCGTTATTCGGTTTTTTTTACATTCGGATTCCTTGAATTATGAAAAAGAAGAAGAGGATATTTTATTTTCAGTCAATAATCTTAGAAAACTTGTTGGTGCCGCCATTATATTTTGTTTGTTGCATTGCTATAATATTCGTCCTAGAAAACCCGCACTTTAGGAAATAGCCGGTATATTAATTATTTAAGAATCACGATGTATTTTCGAGATTGTTCAATGTGTTTTTCCTTTTCTTGTAACGCTTGTATTTTTCGAACAAGCAGGCATTTAGGTTTTTGACCTTTAAAAAAATGTTGTACTGACTTGGCTAGCATGGATGGATACCCTGTGGGGATACGAGGCCTGGCTAGGTCCCCACTGTGGGCTACTCGTATGGTGTCGCGCCAAAATCGGACATTCCCAACCGAAAGGCCCGAGTTCGACCCGCGCCCGCTGCCAGTGATGGGCGATTAAAAGATTGATCTTATCTGAGCCCGCGCACTTACAATGCCGGGAATCATGACTTGACCCCAGTGCTGAGGCAGCTTTTAGTTTGCTCGGGACAGGGTTGAAATTGCTACGCTAGGGGTAGCTTGCCAACATTATTGTGGATTATTTAGTTTTTCGGCCGAAAGCTGACCAAGATTTTTGTGGGAGTTTTAGCTGCAGCTGCGCAACCAGTTCGGGGGCAAACTAGCAAAAAGTCTTGACGAATTTTTTGTTATTTTCCGTCCGAGAACTGGATTGTTGCGTGGTAGGCCTGGCAAGCTGGCAAATATCACTGAAATGGTGTTTCTAAAAGTTTTTTTTACTATTTCTAAACGCAAGCTGTTACAAGTTTCGGTTAAAAATACGAAAAAGAATAGATTTTTCGACCAGATAGCCCGACCAACCAATTTCAATTTCACCTAACAATTTTTTCAAGGTTTTTCTTATTGTTTTCGACTTAAAATTTCCACCAACTTTCAAATTTCCAGACCAAACCCCGACCATCAGCTCACCATTTTGATGGAGCCCGCCGAGCGAGAGTCGCGGGTAAGCTTTTCCGTTTTTCTTTTGCTTGGTTGTTCTTTCGATCTAGCTGTATTCCCCAGCGCCTTTTTTGTAGAAAATCAAAGACAAATTTGTAATTTCGGCGGAGTTCATAGCTAGAATTCGTCCTAACAATTCTTTTTCAGAAAAGAAGATGGGAGGATCTCCGGCGACACCTTCGCTGCATCGACGAAAAGATAGCAGAACTCTGGTTTCAGGAACGGCAGATTATTAGAGCGTAATTTTCATTTATTTTACGTTATGCTTTTTTAGGGAATTGCACTGCGCGAGCCCTGGGCCAACCGTCCCCGCCTTTTCCGAGGATCCGACCAGCGGCAGCGACGGCGAGGAGCGAAGGTGCATCGTTTTTCAAAGATTTTTGGATTACATCAGAGTGCTTTTTGGTCAGACCTACCTTGCGTCGAATTTTTCGCGGCCGAATATCCTTTCAGAACTTGCGGAACGGTCTGGTTTGAAAATTACAGTGTAGTCTAGTATATTTTTGGAGTAAAAATTGCAACTTAACAACCCACTTAAAAACGTAATAGGGAAAATTAGCAGAAGTTAGATAGCGCATTTTGTTTAGAAAGAAACACACTTTTGGATGAGGTACTTTATCAAAATTTTGCGCTAAATTCGGCAAATCGCGTCGTCGCACGCTTTTTGTTTAAAAATAGCAAAAGGTTTATCAGATACCTTATCGGACGGCGCGTTTCTTAAACGACTCTCTCGCAAACTTTTGCTGATTTTCTCTCCGACTTCTTTTACGGGGATTTAAATTTGCAATTTTGCTCCAAGAACACCCTAAAGCGCACTGTAACTTTTCAAGTAGGGCGATCCTGCAATTTCTCAAATCAGATTCGGAATCAGCGAAAAATTAAACACAAACTAGTCTTGGTCTTACGAGGAGTGGTTTTTAGGTGATCTGTGAGTTTTGAGATGTGACATCGCTCCTGCGATAGAGCTTCGAATTCTGAACGAGTCCCATCTTTCAAAAGCTGCTACTACGGTTTTCGAGAAAATTCGCTCTGAAAAGGCCGATTTTGAGCATTTTGACCCCCGGCTTAACAAAATGCTAACTTTCAAAAGCTTATTCTCGAATATTGTTTTCGTTCATCGGTTTTGAAAGATGGTACTGGTCCAGAATTTGAAGTTCTATCGAATGAGCCATGTGACATCGCAAAATTTAAAGATCACCTAAAAACCACTCCTCGTTAGCTAGGTTCCAAGCTGGCCTAAACACTTTTTTACTAGATCTCCCCCACCGGACAAAACCGACAGCCGAGCCGCAGAGAAGCAAGCCAC